ATAACCAAACTACTAAATTCTAACTTTAAAGAGCTGTTAGAATGATTTTATAATACTAACTTCTCATCCTAACACTAGCCATTAGAGTTCCAATCTGCTAAGAATATCCGGATCTGAATTTATTTCAATATTTGTCTACTATTGATATCCAGGTAATTATTCGAATACTTTTTGAATTATCCAGATATCTGAGTAATCTTAATTATCTGGATTTTTCAGACATTACAGCTGTTCTCATAAATTCTGGAACAATTGATAAAAATTTGGTGATATACTTTTAATTTCGGGTACATAAGTTTTTGATTTCGATATATTTTGGACAGTGTTTGCAAAATATTGACATGAACAATTTGGACCAATAGACATAGACATTTATGGGTGTCAAAGTTTTTGTTTGATTGTGCCGAGCATTAGCTATAAGGTTGTCCAAAAGGAGTAAGTAGAATCTGTAACTGCAATAAATTATGAGTTTATTTTTTTGGCAACCAAAATAATTATGGCTGCCAAAAATAATTATAGCTGCCAAAAACAATTTCGGCTGCCGAAAATAATTACGGCTGCCGAAAATAATTTTGGCAGCTATAATTATTTTCGGCATTTAGGCATTTTGAAGAGGCTGCCGAAAATATAAAAAATGCTGTAATGCCGTAATGACGTAAATTACCCGAATTTAGGTACACATGTATATATATTGGATCTATTGTAATTTGTATAGTGAATTGCTGCAAAAAATTGGAATATATAATATTATGTATAGTATAAAATAGTAAATATGTATAGTATAGTTTATAAATTACGATGTATAGCATGTATATTTATAATTCTATACATTATACATGCATATAATAAAATTTTTAAAAAAATTATACATTCGATAAGATTGTATAAAATTCGGTTATACATAGAGCTATAATTTTATACAATCAAATTTTTTATATATGGTAAAGTAACATAACAGTAACTGATAAATGTTAATTAAAGCAATAAAAATATTGGATTATTTTTGTTTTTTTTATTGAAGCAAATAGCTGCCGGGCATTTTAAAGTATAAATTATTTGTTATATATTATTGAAGCAAATTGTCCCGGGCACCTTAAAGCATACATTATTAAGTATATATATACGTATTACTCATTATATCTGAGTTCCTTTTCAATACCCAATTGATATGCTTTTTCATAATTATTAAGTTTTGTTTCTCAAAGCCTTTCTTTACGCTCTTTAATTTCTAATCGACATTCTTCAAGTGAAATTTGCCGTTCTAATTCATCTAATGAAGTACTTTCAGTAGAAGTAGATTTAGATTTAATTTGTTTGCTTTTATTTGGTGTTGATTTTTTTTTTAATGTACATTTTTTGTCTTTAAAATTTAAATTTAATATGATATTAGTTGTAATGCAATAATAACACTATTTACAATATATAAAGAGTTTGAAATTTAGTATATATTTACCATATCGTTTAATTGATTGTATTGCACGAAATATTGGTCCATTATTTGTTCCAGTTCTTGTAATACCATATTTATCTTGTGTTTCGCAAGTTTTATATTTTCGCATATCAAGTCTTCGTGCTCTAAAATTATAAAATTTAATATTAATATATATTAAATTAATTTTTAAAATAAAAAGAATTTACTTTTCAATTGCATTCATTAAACTTAATTCTTTTCTATCACGATTCATATCTGCGTGAGCTGATTCAGCTACATTTGTTGTTTCACCAACAACACACCAAATTTCAGGATTAACTTTAGAACAATACTGGTTTAAACTTGCAAGAATCCACGGTTGATCATAAAACTGGATCCAATCTAATGCATATATATTATTAAAATAATACCATATATATATTTTAATACAATATAAAATTAATTATAAAAAATTACTTTTGATTCCAGCTTCATCAGATAATGTTATTTCATTTAATATTAATTGAACTTCTTTAGAACTTTCGGCAGTTAATATACTTCGCATTAATTGAATAACTTGTTTTGAAAATTTTTGATTAGAAAGGTTTCTAAAATAAAATATAAAATTTAATAAAACTTAAATTAATACAACTTAAATTAATTAATAATATAAATTTTATTTACCTTTAATAATGTTTTAAAAATGTGAATAAGATGTTCTGTCCAATCTAAATTTGGATCAATAGTTGATAATGCTAATCCAAGTCCTTTCGGCTGTGCAATATCTAGATCACCTAAAATACAACTCCAACCATCATTATGAATATGTTGAATTTTAATAGACTTGTTAATTAAACTTTTGACAGTTTCAATAATCATTATAAACATTTCTTTATAAGCATCTGCATTAGAAATATTTGTAAAAATTCTTGCAAATATTAATACTATTAAAAATTAAAAGTATTAATAATTAATTAAAATATAATATTGAAATTTAAAATAAATATATACTTATTTGATGAGTATTATCATATTTATTAAGCTCGAATACATTAATTTCACCTTGTACAGGTTTAAAAGTTAAGTCTATTTGAAAATACTTTGTTTTATAAAGTTTTGTTGCTTGTTCCTTAGTCATACAAAGAATTATTATATGACTATCATCAAAAAACCCTTTTAATAAAATAAATTAGAAAGTTAAACAATATTAATTTACAATATATAATATTAATTATTTCATACTTAATCGTTGAATATAATCACGAATATTGTTTTTATTTTTCCAGAAATTATATGCAATTCCAAGAATGCCTTGTCCATGTGGATTTTTAGCTTGTTGCACTCGACCTACTAAATATCGAAGCTGATCTAAATTGTTGAATGCTGCATAAATTTTAGATAATATATTAACTCCAAAATGTGTACGAATAAGATTGTCTAAATAATATAGTTTATAAATTTAATTAAATTTTAAAAGTATAAAAATAATTTAAACTTTTTAAAAAATTAATTACTAGAAATAATTTTCCGAGGAGTAATATAATCTAAATACTCAGATGCATTATTAATCATTAATTTAATTCAATTTTTTATAGATTCAGGAATGTGACTAGGTGGAGGTGGTGGATGAGTATGTTCACCAACACTCACAAGGACAACAAATGGACATCTAATTAAATCAACTAGGATAAGTCGATAAAATGTAACATCACATGGTAAATGAATTAATTTGGCTTCTATAGGTCCATTATTATCTATATGTAGAAAAGCTAAAATAATATAAAATTAATATTAATTGTTAAATTATTATATAACTTATATAAATTCTATAACTTACAGCATACTAATCATTTAGAGCTATTTGATAAAACTGTATTACAATTATTATCAATTTCATGTTGATTTAAAGGCTAAATAATAAATATTTAAAATTAATTAATAATCTTAAATATATAATTTATATATATTAAAATATATACTATTCCATTAATTAAATTTTTTAATAAATGACAATCTATAGCTTCAGTAAATGGTATATAGCGATGCCCAGTACTGCCATATTTCCAAGATGTACAACCAATAAAATATCTATAATTTATATTAATATTTAATTGTGATGTAGATTCATTTGAAAAAAGAGCTTGTATTTGCCATTTCTTGATTATTAAGTCACCATTACATTGACTACTATTGGTTTGAATATATGGGCAAGAGACTTTTTTAGCCGCCAAATAAAATCTAATTAACAAAAAATATATTTGTTAAATACATATTTACAATTTTATAATTATAAATTTAAATTAATAATAAATATATATTACGATATTGTGTTGGCTTGAATGCTTTGTAATTCTTCAGCATTTTTAATAGTTTGAAAAATGTTCAAATCAAAATCAACATTAGTATGCTTATTATTCATAATATGCTTATGTGCATAAGAACAAATTTTGATTCCTCCGCATTTTCTTTGATCTTTAATAATCTGTATTTTCTCATTGTTAGGTTCATCAAAGAACAGACAATTTACATTTGAACTTCCACTTTTACCACTTTGTGAATATTGGATCTATTAAAATATAAATTAAATAATTATAATAATTAAATTATATTGTTTATTTTTTAAAAAAATGCAATTTATACAGCATTTCACAACAATTTTAGTGTTTGTAATACTATACAATTTACATATATCTAGGGATGGCAAAAAACATGTTTTTTATTTTTTCATGTTTTAAAATATGTTTTAAAACATGTTTTAAAACATTTTT